CAGCCACTCATCCCCAAGCCTGTAGCGCTGCATGGGGTTGTGGTGACCCAAGTGCAGGACCCAGCACTTGGCCTTGTGAAACCTCATACAGTTGGCTTCAGCCTGTCCTGATCCCTCTTCCGAGCCTTCCTGCCCTCGAGCAGATCAACACCCTTGTCTAACTTGGTGTCCTCTGTGACTTACTGAGGGAGCACTCAACCCCCTTGTGCAGATCATTGATAAAGATATTAAACAGAACTGGCCTCAATACTGAGCCCTGGGGAACACCACTTGTGACTGGCCACCAACTGGATTTAACTCCATTTACCACAACTCTTTGGGCCAGTTCACCCAGCCAGTATTTAACCCAACAAAAAGTATGCCCATGCAAGCCATGAACAGCCAGTTTCTCTGGGAGAATGCTGTAAGAAACAGTGTCAAAGGCTTTACTAAAGTCCAGGTAAACAACATCCACAGCCTTTCCCTTGTCCAATAAGCAGGTCACCTTGTAGAAGGAGATCAGGTTAGTCAAGCAGGACCTGTCTTTCATAAACCCGTGCTGACTGGGCCTGGTTGTCCTGTACGTGCGCATGATGGCACTCAAGATGATCTAGTCCATAACCTTCCCTGGTACCGAGGTCAGGCTGACAGGCCTGTAGTTCCCCAGATCTTCTTTCTGGCCCTTCTTGTAGATGTGTGTCACATTTGCTAACCTCCAGTCAATTAGAAGCAGATGAGTGCTGGAGTAACCCTAAAGCACTGGGCTGAAATTCTGGCCTTTGGATTTCCTGACTTGAACAGACTCTGTAGAAGCATTTTAGATGTTTGCTTAATGCAAATTCAATCCTTTCCCAAAATGGAAGGAGATCTGCATGTTGTGCTTTATGCATTTTTCTTCCATGCTGATACAGTGTGAAAACTGCCTTGGAAAAACAGACAAATTCAGCTGAGGAAAGTGATAGCATTATGTCCTGTAAAGGTTTAAACAAAAGGCTAATACAACTAAATCAAAACACTAATTAGCTTCAAGCTAATATTTTTTTCAAATCAAACTCTCTAATTTTCCTTTTAGAAGAAATATGGTGAAAAAGGTAATAACTTTATTTAGTATTTTACTTTTCTCTGTTAGTAGCTGTGTCCACACTCTGAGCATAATTTCAGGATGTATGCGTGAAGCTTATAAAGTCAAATCACTGATTACTGCTGGGGGCTGTGTGGTGTTTGAGAATTTTATTCAACAAGCTACTTTTATTATGTTACTTATGTCTTTATGAACTTGTCCCAAAACTTTTGTAGTCTAGTTTATTTCTCACCAAGGACGTGCATTTGACCGTTCTAGTAGAATTCTTCACTTCTTAGTGTAAAATTAAATGTAGATCTCTTACGAGGAGAGGCTGAGAGAGCTGGGACTGTTCAGCCTGGAGAAGAGAAGGCTCAGGGGGAGCTCATCAATGAACATAAATACCTGAAGGGAGGGTACAAAGAGGACAGAGCCAGGCTCTGCTCAGTGATACCCAGTGACAGGACCAGAGGCAACAGGCACAACCTGAAACACTGGTTCCCTCTGAACATGAGGAAACACTGTCACTGTGAGGGTGACCAAGCACTGGCACAGTTTTCCCAGGGATGTGGTAAAGTCTCCTTCCTTGGAGATAATTCAAAAGCCATCTGAACATGGGCCTGTGCAGCCGGTTCCAGGTGGCCCTGGTTGAGCAGAGGGGCTGGACCAGATGACCTCCAGAGGTCCCTTCCAACCTGAACAATTCTGTGATTTTTATGATGTGTAGTTCCTGTTTTCAATAATGAAAGCTAAGTTTGATACTGATTATCCACTCTGTCAATAACTTCAGAAGAGATCTTTTTTTTAATTTTTTTTTTTTTTTCCCTTGAGTTAACAATGAATGCAAAGAACAGAAACCCTATGTAAAATACTGGCAGTCATGACTGGGACTTTTTTCCTAATGTTACTTTGTACTTCAGCTCAAGAGTGTGGCATTCATAGCAAACAGCGATGTTACCCACTAGCTTTTGGAGTTCCTGCTGCCCTTATGGCTATTGCCTTGGGTAAGTGAAACTGTTTCCATCTTGCTGCTTCAGCTGTAGACGTGATTAGATAACAACAATCTCAGAATAATAAGAAAGTGGTAGAAATCCCCAACCAATACCTGATTGTTTCTGCAATTTTTGACTTTAATGTTTTTCTCAGGTGGATGGGATTAACCTGAAGAACTCGCTTTTACAGAGGAAACTGATTTGCCAGGAGAGACTGATGGGTCTGGGGAGGGGCACAAATATACCATTGAATACTGTATATTATGTAATTTACTGTCTGTATTTCTTGGACTACTGAGGTGTATAAATAAGATCTTTTGAATTAAGTGTGAGAATTCTGAGAAAATGGGGCTTTTGGAAACTATCCATAGTCCAGGACAGCGAACTGTATAAGGTAGTTGTCCCTGCACTGGAGAAATACCATACTGGTGTGTCAGTATTTCTCAAACACCTGCATTTTTACTAGCTGCACTAGGGTCACTCCCCAAGCCTTTCTGCTGCAGCACAAAAAGCAGGAGATTGGGGGGTGTCAGTATATATCCCGTGTGGTCCTGTTCCTTCATGGTCCTAACAGGGAGCCCACCTGGGGGGGCTTCCAGTTGCCAGTGACACCATCTTGTCCATGGACCCAACCCAGGGCGGATGGTGGCTGTGGGGGTTTGCCTGTGTCCTGGCCCGCACATGGGAGGGTGAGGCTGGGGAACGTGCCTGGGCGTGGGAGCTGAGGACACCTTGGCAAGTCCTGCCGTTCAGGCAGAGCCTCACGTGTCCCCACGTGACATGAGCTGCAGCGTCCTGGGCTCCTGAAAAGAGCCCATAAAGCTGTCTTAATCTGGGCTGGCAAGACCAGAGTCAAGCTCCTAAGTGGTCCTTGTTTTGACCATCCTTCAGTTAAGCTAATGTCCCACTGAGGGCTCACCCTAAGAGTTTCCATATTTAGTCCTTTGTCTTAAATAGAAGCGATATGCTGGTATTAATTTGATTTATTTCACCATATGACAACATGCCAATACATCATTTCATTGCTCCTCAGGAGGCTTATTCCCACCCTGATGTAACTCTTTGACTGTTAATTTCCACACCAAATTAGTTGCTGCTATTTTCAATTAATCCCGAGTTGCTTTTGTTTTCTGTTTGTGTATTGTAGCTGTGTTTGTAGCTGGAAGCAGAATGTACAAGAAAGTTCAGCCTCAAGGAAATATAATGGTTCAAGTTTCCAAATGCATTGGAGTAAGTACTATTTGTATTCCCAAAAACCCGAGCAGCAATTTTAAAGCTGTTCAGTAAACTTGCCTAGATCAGAAATCTGTCATAATATGAGGAAAACCTCTGAAGTTTTCCACTTTTTTCCTTACAGGAGACTTCTTACTGACACTTCCCGTTTTAGACCGCCTTTTTATTTATCTGTAATATAGATATTGGTTTATATGTGAATTTATACACAAAGGAAACAAAGTAGGATGTCAGTGATGTGTAAAAGCTTATCCCATCTTCTGGGAATCATTTCTTCCTCATTTGTGCACCTTTGTGCAGCCCTGTAGTAGGAGACAAACATGCCTTGACATGAGTTAAGAGCAGAGCTACCAGTGTATCTTATCAGCAAAAAAATTATTGCTTATTAAAAGCATGTTATTTACAATGCAGTGTTATATTGATCCCTAGTGTATGAGAGACGTCAGGGTGGTTACGTGTCAGTGCAATCCTGCAAGGAGGGGAGCTAAATCTGCATGAATAGCACTGCATATCCCAACTTTGCAGTGCCTCAACTTTATGATCAGTGGATTTTTTCATTTGTGGGCTGCTTTATTCTCCATGCAGATCTGCCAGCTTATTATAGCTCAGACCATTGCTTATCTAGTGAGCGCTGTCAAAACCAAATCTCTATAGGTGACTTTGGCCATTGCTTAAAGTGCTGCCCCTAAGGTCCAGCTCAGCCTTGCATGTTTTTCCATGCAGAAAGATTTAAGAGTTCTTCAGGACTATATTTGTTTACTTTCAGTGTCAAGGTACGAGGAATATCTACAAGATGCAGCTTCTCATACTGCGATGTATTCTTACAGCCATTCAGCTCTGTAAACCTGTGCATATGACACTCTTCTATTTATTGTTGTGCATAAGTCTGAAGTTCCTAACAGCAACCCACATTGGGAGAGTCTACTCTGGGCTGTTTGGTTCACCTGATCCCACGTGCACACTCACTGGATGTGCAGTGTGAGGCCTTAAATACTATATTCCCTTAGATGCTTCTGTTAACTGCTCTAAGCAAGTCACCTTTATCACCCTCTAAACACTAGAAGGAATGTCGTCTTTAATGCCAGAACAGTTTACATAATATATAAATATTTGCAATGCCATTAAACAAAATCCTGTCTCTCCTCAGTTTGCCATCAAAAACAGGTTTCAGCATCGCAGCAAGCAGTTCCCCAAGAGAGAGCACTGGCTTGACTGGGCGAGTGAGAAATATGATGTAAGTACTGTGTGAGCACTCCTGTGTCGTGACATCCCCTGACCCTCAGCTTCTCTTCTGTCTGCTCTGATCCATTGCCTCAAGTGCTGGGCAAATAGTTCTGGGCCTTTCAATCATCTAGAAACTAATGGTCTGGCCAAACCTCATTGGTACCCTGGGATTGCAGGTCATCACCCCAACTCCTGTGCAAGGAAGAAGAGCTGTGTGAGTTGATGCTCTGTGTGATCATAGGCTGCCCAGGGAAATTCAAGGAAGATGAAGAAAAGACTATTTCCCTTGTTGAACAAATATAAGCACCTATTAGTTTTTGAGTAAAATGCAAACCTCTGTTACAGTCTCTACCCTCCAGCATCACAACAACAAAAAAAACACAAATATGAAGCTTTAACAGATATAAACACCCATGAGCAAGGCCTGCACAGAGAACC